GACACCCTGGGCTTGTCCACAGCCCCCCATCAGCCAGCTGAGCCCCCTTGGAAGTTGCTTACCTAAGGTTAAACATTTGTGCAAAAATGGGAATAATAGTGTAGAGTTGTTTCTCCTGGAGTTGCTGAGAGGATCAGAGGAGCTCACCTCTTTCCTTCTGGCTCCCTCCCTCCCTCCCTCTTAAACCTGCTGCCTACTGGTGACACACAGTTCAACCCCCACCCTGATTCTCTAACACTCTACCTGGCGAGTGACCACCCTCTAGTGCGTGACCTGATGCCCTCCAAACCCTCCTCTGTGCCGATCAGGGCGGTTCATTACCCCCTTTTGCGCTTGGGGAATGGAGGCGCAGGCTCGGCAAGGAAGTTCATACCTCCCGGCTGGGCAGGGCAGGGCAGGGCAGGGACCCAGCTAAAATGCATATCTCAGGGCTCCTGTTTCACCCCAGGCTCCCCAGAGACCCCTTTGGGTGGTCTGTTCAGTTCTGAGGTCGCCCGTTCCCCTCACTCCCCAGAGCTCACACCCGGGGCAAGGACGCGGTGCACGTGCTCTTACCATAGGCACTCTCTTCATCTCTTGCCATCTTCCGTCCTCCCATGCTGGCCTGAAAGAGTCCCAAACACAATTTGTCCATTCATTCATTCTCTCATTCACTCCTTCACTCACTCATTCATTCAGTCACTCATTCACTCACTCACTCACTCATTCATTCATCCACTCATTCATTCATTCGCTCATTCATTCACTCACTCATTCACCCATTCATTCACCCATTCATTCATTCACTCACTCATTCACCCATTCATTCACCCATTCATTCATTCACTCACTCATTCACCCATTCATTCACTCGTTCATTCATTCATTCATCATTCATCAAATAGGTATAACTAACTACAATATGTCAGGCCAAATCCAAAGAGCTGGTGATACCAGTGACAAAGTCATGGTTCCCGCTTCCCCTGAACATCAGAACCGAGGGGAGAACATTGGAAGGGCCTGGGCTGGGGTTGGAATGATGCTGTGAGAGGGTGTGATGAGCTTGGTTTTGTCTTTTCAAAGACGTCAAACGCAAAGGGCAGAAGGGACATTGTAACACTTGTGTCAGTCAGAAAGCATTAGATATTAAGTTTTCCCAGGAGGTTCAGCAGCTGGGGGAGACTTTGGAAAACTGTGAGAACTAGAACATTTGAGCAGTGACTTAGGGAACCACTTGGGGTGGTTGGCCTGGGAGACAGAAAAGAGAACTGGAATTTTAGTTTTGGAAATTGGAGAAGAAACATATGTCCCAGGTGATCTGGAACCTCTGACTTTGCTCTCGGAAGTCAAATCACTGTCTTGTCTCAATGTGTCTAAACATGAGTGCTGTCCTGGAGAGACTGGGACACTCCCCTCCAACTCCTGACATCCTGCCACCAAGCTGAGGCTCCTCCAGGTAAAGTGGTTCCAGCCAATCAGTCACATTTAATACAGTCAAACATTTCGGGCTCACAGAGTCCCTGGGCACAGTGTAGTCTGTCCTCAGCCTGCCTCTCCAGCCTCAGGACCATGACACCTCCACTCAGATGCTCCCCAGAGAGGAGATGCCGGGCCTTCCCCAGCTGCCTTGTGCTCTCGGGCCTGTGACTGTTCAGCCTCCCCACTCTCTGTCTGAGTCTTGTCTGTGTGTCATTTCCATTTCTAGTAACACCTCTTCACTTCCTCCACCTAGTTATCGCAGGTGACTGCGTTCTTTCTTGTTGGCACCACTCAAGGAAAAGCCAAGGGAGAGGTGGGCTGAATACCTGGTCTCTGGCCAAGGTACTTAGATGACAGACTGGCCTGGTCCTCAGTCCAAAGGTGATCCTGTTTCTGCAGGAACTCCCCTCCCCACAAAGCCTTCAGTAATGTTCACATCTGTTGAAATCAACACACTCCCCTGACTGACACAGAAGCAGAAATGAAGACAGAGCCACAGATGCAGAGCAGAGACCAGGAATTCAGCTAAAGCGAGGAGCCCTGGGCAAAGGTGGAGATGAGAAGGGGCAGGGAACACCCAGTAGCCCTGGGTAAACCCTCTCGAACTTCCCACAGAGTTGGGAGTGGGATTTAGAAAGTTCTAGTGCAGTCCAGAGAGCTGAAGGCTGGGCTTACGAACACGTACTGTCACTGAGGAATGGAGAACACGGGGGATCCTATACCTTAAGCCTCCCAGGGACCGAGTCTATTCGCCGAGTCCTGGGCTCCTGAACCTCCTGTTTCTGGGAATTACCCAGGGGATTCTGTAAAATGTGTTTCTTAGAGGTTTTGGCTCACATATCTGTACTGTTAGAACATAAGCACCCCCGCGCCCCCTACCCGTGACTCTGATGCACTCAGCCCAGGACCTGAGCTTCGGGGTCAGTTTCCTAGTCCAAGCCCTTCCTCCTGCAGAGCAGGGAGGGAGTTCAGAGGGTCAGCCGCCCGCACAGCCCTGGCAGCGTGGGGTGGGAGCAGGTGTCTAAGGGCACAGGTGGCACAAGGCCTTGAAGACCACGGTCATGGCCTCGGGCGTCTCCCTCAAGACACTTTGGGGACACTCGGAGGAGAGCGGAGTGTTTTAGGCGGTCAGCCCAGATACACGCAGGATTTTCACTTTGTAACTTGTTCTGAGGTTAGACTGGCTTGTATGTCCTCAGAAATCTCCCTGCCTGAGCCGAACAAGCCCGTGGGGCGTGTTTGCTGCCTTCTAAAGGGTGTGTTGGCCCCTGTGGGCGAGCGAGCAGAGCCCTTCCTTCCTTGTTGGGGAACTAGGCTAGGAAAGGACTTAGGCCCAGTAAGAGCCCGGGCAGCAGGCTGCAGGAGATGCCTGCCTGCTCCTGAACCAATGTGTGAGGCTCAGGGCGGCCTCACTCACCTGGGGGTGTGGGGTTACCCTTTCTAGGTGCTGCTCCCCTTTCTGGTACCTACTAGAACGGGGGTGCTCCCTCAGCGAGCATCTTACAGGCACTGGATTCTTCCCGGTCCCCACAGCTCCTGCCCCAGCCAGCTCCCTTCCCCTGCTGGGCTCACCGGTCCTGCAGAATTGGAGACAGGTCTGACGCTGGCCCCAGAAGCCCCTGACCTACTGCTGTCCTCCGGCTGTGAGTGTGGCAGGCTGTTCCTTCTAGTGCAGGGAGAAGTGTCCCGCCTCTCAGACCTCAGAGGGCAGGAAGCCCAGGGAGGTGGGGCCCAGGGGTGACAACTTAAAGAGACAGAACACTCGCCACTGAGGCAGTGGGATGGGGCGTTTCCACTGAAAACCTGGCTTTGGATGATGGTGCTGTTCTCAGGAGGTCCCTGTGCCACCAACAGCTTGTCCCCTGGGGGTCTAAACCCAAAGGAGAAGAGCATTTTAGGTTTCTGGGGCCTGTTTTCACTTCTGGCCTTGAGCACTGATCTCAATTCCTTTTGCTTTTTAGGTCTTTACCTATAAAACGGTCTCTTGATAGCCGCCTCCCCCGGACAGTGCCACCAAGGTGGTCCTAATGCCAGGACGTCACCTGCAAAGCCTCATCATTCTCAAAGGAAAGGGAGGCTTTTCCACTCTTAAAAATGGGACAGCAGGGAGAGGATGGCCCTTTCCTTCGGGGCTCACTCTGGCCATCTTTTAGGTCTCTCCCCCCAGAGGGTCACGGGAAAGGTGAGGAACATAGCCAGTTACCTCGGGAGAGGGGAGGGAGGGACAGGATGATGGTGATGGGGGCCTGGCCTGGTAGGGTCAATAACAGGAAGGTGACCACGCTTGTCACAATCTCTAGAGTTGGCTCTGCGCATACATAGGGAGGGGTTTAATTTGATCTGAAGCTAATCAGCTGGGGTCTGATTTTCACCCATTCTTGCCAGCACATTGTCTCTAGGGAAGAACCCAGCTCAACCCCACCTAGTTCACCTGCCCCCTAGTCAGCTTTACTGAGATATAATTGACAAATAACATTGCGTTGAATTGATACATTTATATATTTGCAAAAATGATCACCACCTTATAGTTTCCTAGCACCTGCACCACGTCCCATAATTACTATTTCTTTTCTGTCCTGAGAATATATAAGATCTACTCTCTTAGCAACTCTCCAGTACATAACACGCGTTACTAACTAGAACCACTCTGCTGTGCATCCCACCCCAGGACTTACTCACCTCTCACAGGAAGTTTGCTCTGTTTCACCAACATCTCCCCATTTCCCCCACCCACCAGCCCCTGGTAACCACCTCTCTACTCTCCATTTCTATAAGTTTGGATTTTTAAAACTTCACATAAAATGTCATATTATATAGTATTTATTATGCTCAGTCGAATTTCACTGCAAATGCCCTCAAGGTCCATCTGCAAATGGCAAGATGTCCTTCTAATTTCCATGGCAGAACACAGAGAGACACACACAGACACAGACACACACACACACACGGTGGGCAAAAGTAGGTTTGCAGTTGTGAGTACTCAAAACACAGAGTTTATTCCTGCATTATTATTTATTATTGTATCATTTGTTCCCCACACTCACAGCTCTAAACCTACTTTTGCCCCCCCCATATATCTGTTCCTCTGTAGAGGGACCCTCGGGTTGTGTCCATTTCTTGGCTACTGTGAGTAATGCTGGAGTGGACATGGGGTGCAAGGGTCTCTCTTCGATCCTGTTTTCGTTGCCTTTGGGCAGATTCCCACATGAATTATAAAGTGGTGCTATGTTTGATTTTTTGATGACTCTTCATACTGTTTTCCATAGTGGCTGCACCAGTTCCATTCCTGACAGTGCACAAGGGTCCCCTTCTCTCACACCCTCACCAACACTGGTTATATCTGGTCTTTTTGATAATAGGCATTCCAACAGGTGCGAGCAAGGTGATCTCTCATTGAGGTTTTGCTTTGCATTTCCCTGATAATTAGCAATGTCAGGCACCTTGTTTTGCTGTCCATTTATGTGTCTCCTTTGCAAAAATATCTCTTCAGTTTCTCTGCCCGTTTTTTAAANGTGATTAGTGGTGTTGGGCCCCTTTCCTTGTTGGCCATTTGTATGTCTTCTTTGGAAAATGTCTCTTCAGTTCCTCTGCCCATTTTTTAAAAACTGGATTATTGGTTTTTTGCTACTGAGGCATATGAGTTCCCTACGTATTTTGGATGTTAACCCCTTATCAGATATATGACTTACAAATATTTTCTCCCATTCTATAGATTGCTTTTTCATTTTGTTGATGGTTTCCTTTGCTGTGCCAAAGCTTTTTAATTTGACGTAGTCCCACTTATTTAATTTTGCTTTTGTTTCCTTACTTTTGATGTCAAATTCAAATAGTCATTGCCAAGACCGATGTCAAGGAGCTTACCCCCTTTGTTTCTTCTAGGAATTTTATGGTTTCAGGTCATATGTTTAAGTCTTAATCAATTTGGAATTGATTTTTGTGTATGGTGTCAGAGTAGAGTCCCATTTCATTCTTTTGCACCTGGCTATCCAGTTTTCCCAGCAGCATTTATTAAAGAGACTATCTTTTTTCCATAGTATAGTCTTGACTAATTTGTTGTAAAATAAATGACTATTTATTTCTGGGGTCTCTGTTTCATTCCATTGATCTATGTGTCTGTTTTTTATGCTGACACCACACTGTTTTGATTAGTAGAGCTTTGTAATATAGTTTGAAATTAGGATGTGTGACGTCTTCAGCTTTGATATTGCTTCTTAAGATTGCTTTTGTTATTCAAGAACTTTTGTGATTCTATACAATTTTTAGGATTGTTTTTTTCAATTTCTGTGAAAAATGCCATTGGAATTTTGACAGGAATTGTGTTGAATCTGTAGATCATTTTGAGTAGTATGGACATTTGAAAAATATTAATTCTTCTAATCCATAAACACAAACTAGCTTTCCATTTATTTGTGTCTTCTTCGGGTTCTTTCATCAATATCTTATAGTTTTCTATATATAGGTCTTTCAACTCCTTGGTTAAATTTATCCCTAGGTATTTTATTCTTTATGATGTTTTTGTAAATGGAATTATTTTCTTAATTTCTCTTTATGATATATCATTATTAGTGTCTGAAATGCAATTGATTTTTAAATATTTTTATAATGATTTTGTGTCCTGCAAATGTATTGAATTTGCTTATTTTTTCTCACAGGTTTTTTGTGTGTGAAGTCTTTAGGGTTTTCTGTATATAAGATCATGTCATCGGCAAATAGAAACAATTTTACTTTTTCCTTTCTGATTTGCATGCCTTTTGTTTCTCATGCCTAATTGCTCTGGCTAGGACTTCCAGTACCATATTGTATAAAAGTGGTAAAAGTGGGCATCCTTGTATTTTTCCTTTCGTCTAAGTATGATGCTAGCTGTGGACTTGCCATATATGGCCTTTATTATGTTGAGGTAACATTCCCTTTGTACCCAGGTTGTTAAGAGTTTTTATCATGAAAGGAGGTTGCATTTTGTCAAATGTTTTTTCTTTGTTTATGGAGATGATAAAATAATTTTTATATTTTATATTGTTAATGTGCTGTATCACATGGACTGACTTAGGGATGTCGATCCATTCTCGTTTTTGAACAGTCTTTTGTTGCCTAATTGCCCTAGTTAGAACCTCCTGTACAAAGCTGAAATAAAGTGACCAGAGCAGATATCTTTGTCTTATTCCTGATTGTAGTAGGAAAGCTTTCAGTCTGTGATCATTAAGTATGGTACTAGCTGTGGGATTTTCATAGATTCCTTTTAGCAGGTTGTGGAAGTTTCTTTCTCTTCCTAGATTGTTGAGTTTTTTTTTTATTATGAAAAGGTGATCAATTTGTGAAGTACTTTTTCTAAATCTAGTGATATTATCGTGTGTTTTTTTTCTTTATTCTATTGATATGGTTTATTACACTAATTGATTTCTGAATGCTAAACAATACTGCATTACTAGAGTAAATTCCACTTGGTCATGGTGTGTACTCCTTTTTATATATTGCTGGGTTCTTTTCATTTGTTTTTGTTTTTTTTTTTTGAGGATTTTTGCCTCCACATTCATAGAAGACATTGATCTGTCGTTTTATTTTATTGTGATGACTTTTTCTGGTTCGGTATCAGGACTATACTGACATCATAGAATGATTTGGAAAATGTTCTTCCTCTTCTATTTTTAGAAGCGTTTGTGAAGAATTGATATTAATTCTTCTTAAATATTTGGTAGAATTCACTAGGGAAGCCATCTGGGCCTAGGTTTTTCCTTGTAAGTAATGTTTTTTATTAGTAATTTCATCCCTTGATGTATTATAGGTCTATTTAGATGTTCCATTTTTTAAAGTTAATTTTGGCAGTTTGTGAATTTTTCCATTTCATCTATGCTCTCTAATTTGGGGAGCATAAATTTGTTTATAATATTTCCTTATAATTGTTTTATTTCCATAAACTCAGTAATAATGTCTGCTCTTTCTTTCCTGATTTTAGTAATTCTCTGTATGTTTTTGGTCAAACTAGCTAAATATTTGTCAATTTGTTGATATTTTTAAAGAACCAAGCTTTGGTTTTGTTGGTTACCTGTATTGTTTTTCTACTCTGTAGTTCATTAATTTCCACTCTACTCTTTATTATATTCTTGTGATTGCTTTAGATTTTGTTTGCTGCCTGAATCACTGACTTAATGTGAAATATTAGCTTATTGGTTTAAGATCTATCTTCTTTGTTTAATATAGCTACATATATATGTCTAGTTGTAAATTTTCTTCTAAGCATTGCTTTAGTTATACCCCATACATTTTGCTATGTTGTTTTTTTATTTTATTCATCCCCAAATATTTATAATTTCCCTTTTGATACCTTCCTTGATTCATTGGTTATTTAGAATTATGTTGTTTAATGTCTACTTCTTATTGAATTCCTCCATTTTTTTTTCTGTTCCTGATTTTTAATTTTACTTCGTTTTGGCTGGAGAACATACTTGGTATGATTTCAAGCCTCTTAAACTTATTGAACCTTATTTTATGGCCTCACACATGGTCTATATAGGAGAATGTTCCTTTGTGCACTTGAAAAGAATGTATATTCTGTTATTGTTGGGTGGAGTATTCCAGTGTTGGACTTAGTTGCTCACATCTCATATTTGTTGACCTGATT